CCCCCTCACTGGTCCAAAGGCCGATCCACAAGTATGGCTATATGCTGGACCAGTAGTCAATGATTGGTAAGATCCAATTGCAGTGGTACCAACTTAAGACAGGAGGCTGACGCCTTGAGGTCAGCTCAACCTATGACGAGTAAGGACCATATGTAGTATTGGACAACCTAAGACAGGCATGGTCCCTAAGCCACATTGCTTGTTGTTTAAACAGAATAGAGGAGATGTTGAGGGCCACAGCCAAGTCACTAAGATGCATGGCATTTTGCTAGAAGGGAGTGGTTGAGAGGTGACACCAGTGAGCCATTGAGATGATGATGGTTATGTTAAGCTGTGTATTCAATTGTATATATGACTTTTGCTGCCTCAGGCACCCCCTACTTTGGAGTTCCCTTTGAGTTCTCCCTGTGGTTCCCAGAGCTCATGCAGCCCAGGGGAGTGAGAAAGAGTTCCCAGGGAGTGTGCCTGGAGTGCTGGTGGAGTTCGGGCAATAAAGTTTCCTGTTTGAACATACAAGTGCTTTGTGGCGGCTGGGTTATTTGTGTCCAGCCAGACTGTGGCACTGTGAAGCGGAGTAATGAGGTTTTTAATCTGTCTTTCTATCTATCTATTTTTTAAATTTATTTTGGTGCTGGGAATTGAACATTGTACATGCAAGGAAAGCACTCTACCAACTTAGCTATATCCTCAACCCCAGAGTTCTTTTTTTAATCATTTAAAAATTTTATTAAGCATCTGAACACTTACAGTATTTGGGGAAAAATGATTTGTTTTAAAGCAGGGAGAAAATTATCTACAATGTCACTGCATAAAAGTTATCTTGAATTATTTGACCAACTTCTTTCCTTTTTTGCCCACAAAGATTTTGCAGTTTCTCAGTTCATATCTTCTACATGTATCCCAATCTGTTGCAGAATAAATTTTTAAAATTATTTTTAGTTTTTTTTCTTCTTAAAAATATTATTTTAAATAATCATTTATATTTTTTGGTTGTAATTGACACAAAACCTTTATTTTATTTATTTATTTTTATGTGGTTCTTAGAATTAAACCCAGGGCTTCTCATGTGCTAGCCAGGTGCTCTACAATTGAGCCACTACCCCAGCCCTTACTTTGTTTTATTTAGTTATACATGACAGTAGAATGCATTTATGCACTTTGAAAAATCATTCATAGATGGGATATTATTATATTTTTCTGAGTGCACATGTTGCAGAATAATATTGGTCATGTAGTCACATATATACATAGAGTAATAATGTCTGATTCATTCTACTATCTTTCCTATTCCCACGTCCCATCCACTCTCCTCCCACCACTTCCCACTACCTAATTTAAGGTAACAATACTCTTCCCTCTTGCCCCCTGTCTTGTTGTGAATTAGCATTCACATATTACAGAAAACATTCAGCCTTTGGCTTTGTGACATTGATTTTATTTCGCTTACCATGATATTCTACAACTCCTACCATTTACTGGCAAAGCCATAATTTCACTTTTCCTTGAAGCTGAGTAGTAACCTACTGAGTATATATACCACATTTTTTTTTTTCAATTCTACTATTGAGGGGCATCTAGATTGGTTCCATAGTCTAGCTATTGTGACTTGACCTGCTATAAATATTGATATGGCTGTGTCACTATTGTATGCTAATTTTAAATATTTTGGAGTGGGTCAAATGGTGGTTCCATTTCCAGTTTTCTGAGGAATCTCCACACTGCTTTTTATAGTGGTTTCACCAATTTGCAATTTCACCAGTAATGCATGAGTGTACTTTGTTCACCCCATCCTCACCAACATTTATTGTTGCCTGTATT